TCCCAGACCAGAATCATTCTTTGTATTAGCACTATGACATGAGTTGCTTGCTTGTACATCATGATTTTTCTCCCAGAATGACTGGCATAAATACCCGCTACTAATCTTGTTATAAAAAAAACAACAACATGTATTCCGAATATGAATATGGGTTTATGGAGGGTGTGGAAACAAATCTGAAATAATCTCTGAGTGGTGATTCAGGGTGAAAAAAAGGAAAATTGAATAGATTTCTGTAGCAGAGCTTATGCTACATCAATGGAATTCACAGCTGATGTAAGAAGTTTAAAAACATTATCATATTTATTAATGAAATTAAAAGTCCCCATGAAAGTCATTAATGTCAAAACACAAATTGAGATAAACAGCTCCTACAATTTTTTTCATGTAATTGGAGAAGATAAATCAAGGCCTAAATTTAAATAAGAACCCTCTTTTCAAATAGAAAACTAATTCTCCTTGCAACATTGCAATGAGACGTTCACACTTCTACTGAGATTTCTGCCAAGACATCAATTGGAACTGCTGCTAAAATTGGCAAAACACGGAACATGCTATATAGAATGCAGACCGACAATCCTGTTTTTTTTCATAAGTGAAAACACATAACTCTGGAATTCAGAAGACATAAGCATAAGGAATATGAAGGTGCATACATTTTAACTGTAAAACATCCCTAAAATATATAGCAATTGTCTAGGGCTATTAAAAGATTATGAAGAAGTTCCATGGAAAAGTAACCACTATATAAAAAGTGGTGATGGAATAGTCGGTAATTAAAATAAAAAATGATCATTGTTACAGAACAGGAATCATTATCAGGTAAGATTTGAGCAACAGGAAGTTAAGGCTCACAGATCTGAACTGTGGATAATTTTGTTGTCTGTTTGTTTCCTGGTTTCTTCTTCCAGAGTAAAATGGCGGTAAATGTATAAGCAAGCCTCGCATTTCATTTGGTGAAAATTTTCGCATCCAGTAGAAAACACTTAAAACTTAAAGCTAAATATGAATTTTGATCGGGTCTACAATAAATTGTGACATAATAGGCGGGATCTATACCTTTAATTAAAAGTATTTCTTTGGATAACTGAGAAAAGTACAGCAGTGAAAATAAACCAAATATTTTGAGCACAATAAGGGCATTATTATGAAAAAATGAATATTTGTGAAAGTAACCATTTTATAATAGTCTGAGGATAAAATTTCACTCCTCTCCTTATACTTATACTTACAGTACTAAGCAGTAATGAAACAGCAAGGAGTTCAGCAGCCTCCATATCTGTGTCCTGAAATCAGTGAGGGTTACATGTTGTACAGTCCTATTTTAAAAGCATGAACAAATATTATGCTTTCATTTATAAATTTCCAATGTGAATTTCTTATTATTTTTAAGCTATACTGATTCAAATATAAACCATGCAAAATTTCATTAAAACATTAACGGTTCCCCGTCTTCTTTTTCAGGTTTACCAGTGTGCATTTGATATCCATTACATGTATTACTTTGACTTTGTTATCAGCTGAAATAAATTTATGTAAAAGCAATAAAGTCCTATTTGGATTTTATTTACTGTCTTTCAAAAAAGTAAAAAATATGACCTTGCTGCTTTTGCCTCCTCCTTTAATGTTTAACAACAACATTTCTAACGTCACATCCAATTTACAGTGAAGCAACAGCAATGTTCCACATACCACAATATAAACATAAATTTCGCTGACATAAATAGGCTTTGCAGAAATAGGCTCTGGCAATGTTAACTCGGTGAACACCATCTGATATGAACAATTGCATATGAACATGTTAACTGGGACATTCACTGCATCTTGATTTCTTTTTTCTGCACCGTGTCAAAAGCCATTTGTGATTGTGAATGTAAAAACATTGCTTCTTGCAAATAGCTTTACACATATCCAGCAAGCCGCTATGCCTGACAAACTACAACCTCAAATCTATCCATCCATCTTCTAATCACTTATCCTGGTCAGGGCTGTGGCACCTCAATGATAGTAAAGGAAAAAAAAAAACACAGAAGGATATTAAATTCTCGAAGGTCACTGGTACTAGTATAATTTTTAAACGCAGACATAAAACACAACTGAGTGACAAGCTCACCGGTGCCATCAGCCCAATGTGTGTCCACAGACGCTATGAGAAACTATTGTCAGATATTCCATTATTTAAATAAATCAGACTATTCAGTCAACATCGAATTTGACAAACTGTATTTGTTGTTCTCTGTCAGAGCAGCCACTGAAAGAATTACACGAAGAAAGAAAAAGTGGCTTATTGCGGTCCTTTTGACTCTTCAATACAAAGGAAACGGTAATTCTTATTGGGAAAATATAAACTTCTGTTTAAGAGGTACTTTCTTATGTCGGCATAACAAGTACCTTTTTGAACCAGGTCATATACAATAATGCATGCAAATGAGGCAGGTGACCATATGTTGACAATGAGTTACTCACAGTGAATTTGCATATTGCTTTACCTCAGACTATTTTAAGTCACATCTAAAATACTGAGGTATACTCATATGATTTTATTAAACTGACACACTACTGTACTCAAGGTGGAAAATGACAAAATCAAATACCTCTGCTGTACTGTTATTTCACAAGTCGAAGGTGCGGAAAAAAACAAGGAGCAGGTTTTCAGTGCCAAATTAACATCTTGATTTTATCAGAGACACATACAGGTTACTTCTGAAGAGACTTCTGAAGAATCATATACGAGAAATCTATCTTGTAAACCAACATATATACTCATCTAAATCTGTTTAAATGAATGCAAACTAAAGAAATGCTTAAAATACATATCTGTCCCAGAGTATGTTCATTCTTTCAGGTGAGTATCAGAAGATACAGACATGTCTGCCATTTTTATCCCTTATTAACCTCTATAATAATTAACCTTAATTCTTTTCACTATAATTCATTCAAATGAGAAGCTCACTAAAAACGACAACTTCACATTCATACGTTACTGTTTTAAAGTTTCATTTACAAAATTTAGAATGTGCTTTTGCAGCATACAACAGACTTCATTTTATCAAAATTTAAATTATTCTTTACCTGCTTCTTTACCACATGTACAATTCATTGGATTATCCTCCGAAAAAGAAAGAAAAGTGATATAGATATAATGATAAAAATATCATAAATGCATTCACAATATTTCCTGATGACATCAGAGGGCACAAGCTTTCAGTTTAGAGTACAAGTAATACATTTCCTTTAGACACTTGGTGCATTGTGGAACCAGAACACAGACAGTAGTACTCAAAATGTGCATTTTAGCGGCAAGGAATTGTAAAATAATGCAGAGGCAAGAAAAAAATATATTCATGCTTAAGCATGAATCACTGGCCAAAAGCATGGACAATGCTCTCCAATTAAATGCATGGGCAATTTTCTCCAATTAAATGTATGGGTTGGCACACAATATTACAATTAGAAGTATCAAGTAAAAATAACATTTGATCCTTGACTGGCATTGATTCTTTACTTCCAATGCTGTATCATGTTTATGGCATTTTTACACTGAAAATACAAAGTCATACTTTGGCTAAAAATGTGAACCAATTAGTTAGAACGTACACTGCAAGGGTCGCCAACCTAAAGCCTAAAGGTAACATGTTACAATTTTCTTATATCAACTAATTTCAGGTACCGCATGCTTTTTCTTCATAGTCTGACTAATGATGCATCAATGAATGATACTTTTCATTTGTATAATTTTGAAAAACAGTGTATATTCAAAATATTGCAATTATAATTATTGTAGAAGAACATCGCCACTATGCTGTATTGTGTGAAGTGTAATCAAATCAAGCCCTTGTGTTAGCATTACATAGCTGCTGTAAACAAGCCAAGTTCTAAACCTTATGATGAATATTTACTGTCTTTCCTTTCATCCTGATATTCGCAAACCTTGGTGTACTTGTTTTTCTGAACTTCTGAAGATGCATAAGGACAGGAATGACTACTGAGTATTCAAACATTGGTATTACAGCTTTGACTGAAAACTTTGCAACTTTTATTTGCAATGCTTCTGTTCAGCCTCATCATGAAAGGAATTAATTTCATCAATCTCACATCACTTTCACATAAAAGAAAAATTACAACTTTTGACAACTGAAATGTGTCATTATCATTTAACGCATTTTCAACCAGTTATGTGGTTGAGCTGTTATTATGGAATTGTGTCCCTCCTCCTGCTTGCAGTCATATTTAATAATGTTCTTTACTTGGTACATTTTATTATTATTTTTATTATTTTCCTTACAAAATCATGTTTGATCAATTTTACTTAAGTGAGCATTCATGTAGATTAGCAAATCAATGTGAACTGTGTGAATTGTAAAATTGGTAACAATACTGATGGATTAAATATTATCCTGTTTACACAAACATAGTGTAGCCCTACTTTACTAAGCATACACCTCTGTGTTCTAGTACACCAAGAAATAAGAATAATTTCACCTATTCAATACCAATAAACATATTTTCTAACCTTTGTTGGAAAATATCAAGCAGGGCATATGCATTCGGCGCATCCTGCTGAATTTGAGCCCATTCCTTATAGCATTGCCTATGAACAGCTCATTCCTCTGTAATGCTGCTAACGGATGTGTTCCTGGGCTGGAACGTTTAACGCTTGCTTTGCATAATTGAATAAGAGGGTCCCCAGGCCAGATATTGAGAGTACAGGGGAAGTTGTCTGAAAGTATGTTTATAGTCCTCCGGCAGTGGGAGCAGAAGAGGTGCCTCTGTGCTAAACTGGAATGGCCTGTCAGGATCTTCACACTGCAGAACTACTCAGCTGAGGGCCAGGTGAGAAGCCTCAGAAATGCTGCCATATGCAGTGAAACTTACCTTGTGATTCTGGAATATTCCTGCAAATTAAACTTATCTGCTGGGGCTTTTAGTTAATGTCGTGTCATTCTTAAAAATGGCTGCGCACAACATATCACATCACTCAGAAGAATACGACTGCCTGATGTAGCATTGCCATTAGCAAAGGGGGATTTATTAGAATATATCCATCGTGTTTGTTAGACACAACCTCGTGGTAGTACATCTGGTCCATATACCACAGTTATGCTCTTGTGGAGTAATGAAAGGCCTGGGGGGGGGGGGGGGGGTACCCAGCAGGCATCATAACGCAACGCTAAAACCAGACGACGTGACTTCCGTGATGGTCTTACGGTGTATCAGGAAATTAGCAAAATCCAGCATCAAAAGAAAAAAAAAAAACATTCAAACTATAGTCATCACTGGACATGGGCTACATGTTGACCTACAGTAGTAACACCTGAACAAGTTTTCTTGGGTGTCTAATTGGTTTCTCATATACCCAGATGTCACAGTGTTAGCTTACTGTGAGAGGGGAGGGAGCCTTAATTTACCTTGCCCACTGGAACCCTTGCACTTTCATTAGGAAATAACAAGCACCATTCTTTATTGAGTGCTTCGGAACTTAATAATAATAATAATAATAATAATAATAATACAGCCAATAAAAACAGCAATATGAAATTTTGCAATTCCCTGCAGTGAGAAACATGTCTTCATACTCTGGACATTGCGTACAACTGCTCATAAAATAAAGACAAATATTTACGTGAAATCTTTTTTTTTTTTTTTCCCGCCAAGGTAAATTTGCCATTAACAAAATGTGATCAAAAACCTTACACAGTATGTATGATAGCAAAGAACAATGAGCAGAAACAAAGGTGATAGCCCCTTCCAAGGGCATTTCAACACTGAGTGTTTTACCACTATCAAAAATTTTTACCAACACACATTGTACAAAACTAGTCCTTATAACCATGTTCACTTAAACTATATCATATTTACTGTTAATTACTATATCCAGATCTCCCCATCTACCTTCCCACATTACCTCCCCAGACACCTCCAAAGTAGATAGCCAATCAGAGACGTATTTCTTCAAACAAATCCAATGGGGATGAAAATTATTTTAATTACGGCTTAATCAGCAGAACAGCCACCAAGCAGATAAATTGTCATGCGCATCGTGCTAAAAATATCCAGTTCCCCTGTCCACCAGCTCTTGTTATTGACAGCACTTATGTGATGAAGCTGTATCTGCCAGGATGCCCTTATCTGCTTCTGTTCTGCTGGCAGATTTCAGTATCAGGGCCAATCGGGGCTTAAACAGCATTGGTGCTTTCTGTACATATTTAGATATGTAAATAGGTCCTATACAATAAAACTGTTCCCAAAAATAAATTGGAAAAAAAGGAATCCAAGACATCTTTCAATGTCTCCTTTGTGCATATTCTGGAACAGTTTCCTTTTAAAATATCATCCTACAATACTTCCTCTTGTAGGGTAACACATGCCTGAAACGCAGCGATCAGAATCCTCTTCGGTCGGTAGAAAGTGTCACTCATAACTGGATGCAGTGGCACAAAAGTACGATTTATTTATGAAGCACAATTCCTGTCTTCCTTAATAACCCCAAGATTTCTTCTTTTCTCACATCTGTTAGACAACTGCATCAAACCAACCTTTTCAATGTTCCTTATGCGATTTATGCAAGTGGACAAGTGGCCTCATCCTATAATAATTGAAATACAATGAATCCTTCTGTTTTTTGTTCGTCACATTTCAACGTAATGTTTTTTTCGTTAATAAAATAATATATTTCCTTTCAAGGATAAATCTCCATTTTCACACACACCCCATGATGAAAAATCATAGGTGCAGAAAAGTCTAGATCTTGTTTTCTGAGTTGGATATTTCTTGTGTATACCATTATGCCACTGGTTATACCCTGGTTGTTGAGTGTGAATGAGGATGGGGGTGAGGCAGCGTGTTGTTTTGTCCACTAGAAAAGGCGTTAAATGTATGCAGAGGTTGGATCCCAGACATTGTGTTAGAGATCATGGTGATAGTATTGGGAGTCATAAGAGGGATGTCATCTGGCGATCTCCTCATGGCTAATGTGTAGTCTGGAGGACAGGCTGTTCTCAGAACTACTTCGTGTGGATGGATGGTGTCACAATCGCGGTCCAGATCGCCATGCTTCATCTGTAAAGACATGATGTCTTCCTCTTGAGTGTGGCCCAGGACATTAGCGGTGTTGCGCTGCGGGCTACACCGCCGGTGAACATCATGCCGTCTCTTGTCCTTCTTATAATAGAGGGCAGCGAAGGCCAGGATATTGAGAAAGAGCAGGGAGGCTCCTACAGCAATGGTGACACTCAGCTCTGTGGAATAGTCCCTCTGGTCCACAAGGAAGGGCTGGTTCTGACTGCCTTGGTTCTCAGTAGGGAAAGGAGTGGGGTTAGGCCGCTTGGTGTTGACAGGGATAATCTTTGGTGTCCGGGTTACCTCTGGTGGGGGGACCTTTGTAGTGGTAGAAATGATCTGTGTGACTTCGTTGAGGCTGTGTAGATGAGGAACCAACTCCAGCCATAGATTCACCTTGTTGGCTCGGTAGTGCTCTTTAACACGCGGCTTGAGGCCAATATGAAGATACAGCTGGTCCTTCTGGTTGTAGCGAGTCCAAGCAACTTCCTCAAAGCGGTTGGGCTTAGTATGTATGAACTTAGTGTCCTGGGGGACTGGTTGGTTAGGATCACTGTAGGGGACGACAGAAGACAGTATAAATATCAGTGATTTATGTACCTTAATTTCAAAATGGAATATGAAACCAGAACATATTAGTCTGGGTTTACCACCAAGTACGACAGCGTAGAGATCTGAGCTGCGGTATAAAGCAGATGTATGTTCATTATTAGTATTCCTATGGTCTTCAGCAGCCCATCAGTTGAAACATTTCCTCATACAAAACACAACGGCATTGACACATGCTACACAACAGGTGGAAAATTACCTACATTAAAAAAAAAACAAAAAACAGATGAGGATACTGGAGCTAAATTAGCAGTATTTCTTAGTTATATCATGAAACAGACTTACCCGGTTTTTGCAAAATTTGTCCAATAAGTCATCACCACAGCACTCAGCATGACATCGTTCTTGGAGAAGTTGCAGGGGAAGAGCTCGGTAGGGCCAATCATCGGCAGCCCAAAGACATAAGGGATCTCATCTCCATGAGCAGCATCCGCCCAAGGTGGTACTTGCTCTGTTTGGCAGTGGTGGTAGAAGGCATAGAAGTAGGTGGGCGACCCAAAGCTGGAGTGGAGGTCAGCAGTGGCCACTGCGGGTGCAACCCACTGGTGGTCAGTGAACAGCGCCAAAAGGGTCTTCCTCCGGGTCTCTGGGTTATGCCGGTCCGCCCAGTCTGTGTACATGAACTTAATCGTCTCCCTGAGGATATCCTTGCCTTCAGGATAGCCATACAAGTCATCCACAAAACTTGACACAGCATAGTCAAAATCATTAGCTTGGACCCCATTCTCATTGTCTACTATGAGCTCTACAAATTTTAATCCCTCCCCCTGATTGACCCCTAACATGATATCATAGTTAAGGAACTCCCCTTGTTCCATCAGGATCTGCGGATCATCGGGGATCACGTCGCCATCGATGACGGGTCCAAATGCGATGTGGTACCGGGCTGGCTGTATGTCCTGATCCACAAGCTCTTTGTAGTGCTTCTTCTGGAGGCACTCCACCAGTTCTACTGTGTCCTTGAGGTTGCACCCAACTTTTTTAGCAAGCATCCGAGCATATTTGGCAGGCTGGAAGCTGACAGCCCAGCTGGACAATGCTGTTCCACTCTGGGCTATTGCTCTCTGGAAGAGTCCTGCAGAAAACAATACAGAACAATTCTAAACCAGCACCCATCACAAAGCATTATGCTCACAATTATTGCATAATGCTGAAGGGAAAGCAAGTGCCACAGCCATTCAACAAAACCCACTAAAATAGATCCCTCACCTTAGCAGGGCAGTTGAAAATGAGAATACTTGTCATAGTGACCTGACATAAGGTGTGTTTTATTTTCAGAGCCATTCTGTCCATGAAAGCTTTGGTGAGAAACAATCGCAGCTCAAACAATGTAATATTTTGAATTTTTTTTTAATGAAAGTTAAGTTACATTTGACTTTAAGTTAATTATGGAATTAATTAAGTATTGGGAGCTGGGAGGGAGCAAAAATATGGACTGACCCCGAGGACCGGGTTGGGAAACACTAATCAAAAGGACTACCTGGGAGTACAGAATTAAGAGACGTCTAATGTAGTCAACTATCTTAGCTATTATCTTAGCTACACCAACGGCCTGCTTTTTTCTATGGAAGTTTGTTTATTGCATTTTTAGCAAGCTGGAAATCTAGCTGAATATTATAAATCAATATATGGAACAATAAAATAAGTAAAATAATGTGGCTGTGATTAAATTGAAAACCATGGCACATGGAGCAAGTCGCTAGCAATGATGGTGGTAATGGTACCAATACCGCTGGAATCCTCAATGTCACAGAACAATGTTTGGCATTGGATATTTTTTTAGGCATAAGGGTCTATCCTCCCATGCACTTAAGTCAAAAAAGTGGCTAGCTACGTGCTTTTTTAGCATTAGCATATTCTCCCATTGAGTTAAATCTGCGGTTTATGTGCACTCAAGATACATACGCATTTTAGGTAGAGAAACACCAAAATATGGGGGTGCCGCATGTAAATTACCCCTATGCATATTCTGCCATTGACTTAAGTGAACTTTAGTACATTTTTCACTGCGTGTTGTGGAGGGCTGTATTAAGTCAGGCCTTTGCATGGACATGGGCAATATTTAAGTGTTCAGAAAGCCGAACATGTAACACAACTAAACTTCTTACATTTATTATACATTTAGAAGTAAGTTACAATCCAAAACGCATGTGAATCATTCATTTAATGAGATAAGAATTATATAACACAATAGTACATAGAAACATATAGGTGTGTAAGGATGAACTAGGTCAACATGCTTAGAAGGTGAATCAAACAGGCTAAATGACTGGTCGATTAAAAAATAATTCTTTCACTGAAAATGAGCAAAAAAATAGGTTCAAAGGATGTAGTCTGTCCTCACAATCCTACGCTGAAGTGCATGTACTTATTATAAGACAGATATGCTATTGTCTTTAAGAACTTTAACTGACAGACCTGAATGCATCATACAGTATGTTTCCAGGTGGATAGTGAAACACTCAGTTTTGAACTAATTCAGGCCGCAATTCATCCTGAATTTTCATACACATACATACATTTCATGCTTACACTACACTACAATACACTAGGTCAGGGGTCCCCAGTGGAACTACCTGACCTCGCCTAATTATTAACCATTGTACGCTTAATGGGGTAGTTGTGTGGGTTTTTAGTGGCAATGACAAGCAATCGGTTTGGAATAATACATCGCAGCCTACATTATAGCATATAAGCTTGTTTGATTGAATTATTATTTTAACAGCAATGAATTCTAAACTTTCAGTTAATGCTTCTAATAATACTAACATGTACACCATATCTATTGGTGAGGCATATTTGCTTGTTTACAGAACTGCTCTGAATGAAGATGGAAAAAAGCCAAGTATATGTATTCGTTCTTAAACACATTACGGGTCATTTTCATAAACTCTTTACCGCAAGATATCAATTTTCTCTAAATTTTAAAATTAATATCAATGTCTAAAATGTAGATTTTTCCTCTGGGGCAATCAATGAGTTGCGGAGTAACACAAAACGACTGAAGAAATGAATGTATATCTTAGGCTATTATACTAATTGATTGCCAATTGTGGGTGACTTGCAATAAAGTTGAAAGACTTAAAACATTTTATCAAGTTTTGTATTATTTGATTTAAATTCTGCTATGGTAGTGCCTATTTGGAGAGAACGGCAGAGGGATTATTAAATCAGAGCTAGAAATGACATAATTTTAATATACCTAATAAGTCAAGTTAATGTCAATTACTCTGCACAAATTTCAGACAATGTATTTCACTGTAACATTTCATTTTTGTCAACAGATTCTCATGTTTGTGAGAATGGCCAAATGTATGTGCAGTAGGTTATGTCCTTGCTTTCATTTTCAAAGTAATTTTTCCCCATATATAAATTAGCTTCACAATGTAAAAGAAATAGTTAATGTTCCACAATTTTGCTTGTTGCCAAAATCATTGAGGGCACAACCCCCTGTTCATGCTTGATGAATTAATTATATTTCTTGCACAACTGCGTCTGGGTTAGTGCGGTGGGTGTGTCCGTGTTGACGAGGTGAGAATATTTGCAACTCAAAAGCGTTTAACTGTTTCATCGCTTTTTCGACTTAAGTACTTGATGGGAGAATCGACCCCAGAGGAACTATACTGTCTTTGAATATATAATTGTGTACTCTCGCTTTAATTTAGAATAAAAACAGTGGATTTTTAAGTTGATAATTTAACAAGGAACGATAATGTTCTAGATGTAGCATGGAGGGAGATGCACTACAAGTGTTTATATAAATGTTTTTATGTCAATGTGGACAAAAGTGAACCCAAAATGTTTGTAGTGGAAATTATGCTTATGACCTTGATCCTTTGACAATTTTGGATCATGCCTGTAATTTGCAATGTCTTGTAAAGTACTTGAAAAGTAAGAAAGCATTCTTCTTCACACTTAGGGTGCTAAAAATGTAAAATGCTGAATTAAAAAAAAATCACTAGCTTTATAACAACATGGAAAATTGAATGCTTACATGCATGACAGAAGTATTTAGACAACGTTATAACAGAAAATTTAAGAAAATTAATAAAGGTTCTAAATGAAAGTTTCAAAAATCTATATAAAAACCCTGTACAAAATGTGTATATGTGCATTACTGGAATTATGTTTACTCAGACAAGTTAAAAAAAAAAAAAATGGGAAAAAATTCAAAACCATAACAAATCAAATATATGGCATTGGTGGCATGCAGACAACAAAATTGTCAAAAGTTGCAACCTGCATAATACCTTTGGTTGAATTGCTCCAACGGTTACCTTCAGAATAATGCGACAAGGTCAACAGATTGACACAGGAGGCACCTGCCCCTGATCCGAAAACAGTAATACGCAACGGGTCACCGCCAAAAAAAGCTATGTTTTCACTGGTCCAGCGCAGAGCTTGGATTTGATCAAGAAGACCATAATTCCCCTTGGCGGCTTGGTCTCCAGTGCTTAAAAATCCTGTAAAACAAAAGAGAAAAAGGTCACAAACTCAATCAATAACTACCTTGCTAAAAAAAGACCTCCCATTTCTGATGATTTGTTTTGATTTTTAAAGTTTCCGGTTCTATAATGTGAGTAAAACCCTCTAGTTCATCTATATATACTAGTTCATCCATATATACTGCTAACCTTCTTGGAATGGAATAGTTGAGCATAAAGCAAAATAATTGTGGAAATCCAGTTTTAAAACAGACAAGTCCTAATCCACCCCATATAAAAAAGTTTTATAAAAAAAAAATTTAAATGAGTGTTGCATGAATAAATCAACATTTTTTTTACTATTTAATTTTCTCATTTGTATACTTTTGCCAATAGATGTGCATTCCATATTAAACTACTTTAAAGAGATTAAGAAAAATTAAAATAATTTAAAGTTGCTATACAGTAACTAATCTTAATTATTCAGGTGCTGTACATTACAGATATGTACAAAATAACAGACCAGACAGAGTAAAGAAATCATGTGACCTAATCCACAAAGAAAAAAAAATCAACCCAGAAACAAATCAATCAGCATTGTTTGAAATTTGTGTATAGTAATTGATATTTCCTTTCAGTATTCGCTGAAATCCATTAAAACCTAAAAACATAGCAGCTATTTTTGATATTTAAAAATGAATAGCAACAGAATACCAACCACATGCTTAAAGCTTTATGCCAATTCCAAAATTAATTTACTTAAAATGAAGAACAATAAAACTTGACATAAATAAACAATGTAAACTAAAATACAGTAGATGAATAACATGAATGAATAGTAATACTGTTACTCTGATTCAGGAGAAAAAAAATCTCTCCTACATGCACATACTGTAGATGATTCCTGAAAGGGGCTACGGTAACTTTGTAGCTAATCTATCAATAGCAAGCTTATGCGGACTTTGAGTGCTCCGTACCTCGCAGTACAACTGAGAGGAGAATTATACTGAGGCAGCCTCATCTTGTCCCTATTTCACATTGGTGCACTTCAATTAAGGAGTAGTATGACTTGAAAAGTAATTTGTACTCATATATTACTTGTCGTCCCTGAAAAATTAGTGATTAAGTCAAAGTGGCTCTGTGGTGGACCACTGGAGATCTTTAATAGGAATCCCCATTCCCCTAAACTTTGATTTCCATTCTAAAATGCTTATTACTGGAGAATTCACATTCTAAATCAGAGAGTATGCCTTTCCTCATGTACGTCAATTTTAAATGCTGTCATTTAAAAGGCATCTCCCACCAATTTTATTTTTGCATATACTTATCTGGCAAAAGTGCTGTTGACCATAAGAGTATAGGCAGAATCATTTTTTGTATTTATACTCATACATAGTAGCAGGTCATCTAAAAGTCATTTTGCAGTGGTGTAGGAAGTTTAATAGAAAAACAAGTGGCTTCCTGTTTGAGCATGAATGATAAGCAACGAATAAACATGTTACTTCTGGCTTGTGTCATCAGAACCACTGCAGCCACTGCCACTGAAAAATGTCAGTAAAAATGACTTTAGTTGACAGTTGCTTATCAGTGTAACATATCACCCATGACTTGAGGAATAAGTATATGCATTAATCTTTGTGCAGTGCTGATCTAAGAGCATCAGGTGGTGAGGCATTTGTATAGCAGGAGGTGGAAAGGTATCGTGAAATGTTCTGAAATGTTCAGTTAGCACCTGAAACTAACCTGCTCTGCTAATCATGTAATCAAGCCCAGGCACGACACTGGCTGAGTCTGACTTAAAACATATTTAAAAGCCTGCAAGAAAACTTTTCTAGTTCTGATCATTCACCCAACCTTAAGAGCCTGTAAGAAAAACAAGTGATATTTTTGCAGTCATGATCATCCATCCATCCATCCATCCATCCATCCTATAATGTGTAGAAATACAGTTGTAGGATACAGCAGAAAAATCTTAACATCCTGGATAAACTTAGACAGGTATAAATATAAATGTTTCTTGTTTTTCCTTTGTGCCAATTGAGAACAAGGACATTTAGTCCTTTCTGCCTGTCCTGTGTATGCAAGCACTCTGCCTTAGTGCTATTAGAGAAAGGTTAACAAAAGCAGAGCTCTTCATTATCCTTCAGGACCTGACAGTCTTCTTCCCAAATGTAAGTCTCTTAAATGCAACAATTAATTCATAAATACTGCTGCCCGAGGCAGAATCTGTGCAGGTAATCACTGCCATTTCCTCCACATACATTACACAACAGTACAGCATTAATCAGTTCCGCTGCAAAAATTACATGAAAAACTGTTTACAGCTGCTAAGTGTGTTGATAAATATGCATTGTGAATATATTTTTGATATGTGGCTTGAAGTGCACAAAGTAAAGACTGAATACAGTTTTATGCTTGAAAATACTCAAACATAATTTGCATGACAATTGCAATGTTACAACATACACCAAGTAAAAATGTGAAGTTATTTTGTGAAACATTCAAACTGAAACTAGCCAAAAATTATGTATGTTATAACTTGTAGTATGCATTATTGTGTGTTTGCATTATTGTGTATTTCAGCTTACACATTGAATGAAAACCAAATCATTTTGGTAACATCCACTATATCCATAAGATATGTTATCCATCCATCCATCCATCATGAATGGTTTAATGATACATTATGTAATAACAAAATTTCATTAGATAAATTTACATTTAAACTTAAGATGACTGTTGATTAATGAGTAACTTAAGTCGTTTGTAACCTTGATCCAACCCACTCATTATTTTCTATGTTGTTCTTTACTTGAGTTATTTTTGTGTCATAGAGACACAGAAGTCGCCTAAATTGGATCACTTAAACATGCTGATGCTCTTTTTTGGACAATATAATAATAGTAATAATAATAATAGATTCATGCCACAATGTAAAATGATGTAGGCTATAAATTCGTTACATTTTGTGCAGTTGTTACATAATGCAGTGTTATTACATTATGCTTTGCTAAACGGTGTGTGACATCACATTATGTAATAATGCCAGATTATGTGATGAAAATTAGCTTTCATGGGGGGGGGGGTCTTAAAATGGGATGGTCAATGACATAGGGGGGGCTCTGGCAACTGTAATAGCCCTGGGACCTTTCACTATGTTCATGTGCCTCTGGTTCTGGATACCCCAAAATATACCTTGGTTAGTTTTACCAATGAAATGTTATTAACTGCATTTCTTCCAAAGAGTGAACTGAGCATTAGACATTGTAATCCAAATTAATTCAAACTCTATGTTTATTCCACAGGTAAGTCAAGTATATCAAATTCTAATAAAAATGTCTAAAGGAACGGGGAGAAAAAATGAAAGATCAGCATTTGATCACATTGTGAAGTTCTACCAACATGTCTGTGTTTCATGAACAATGCAATTTGCAAATGGTGTCAAAATGCTTTGGCCCATTTTAAATCAATGGAACAAACCACCAAGGCAGGTTATCATGATCAGCCCTTAATCATCTTTACAGTCCTATAATTTCAACAAGTAAATATTCCTTTGGACAGCCATCCATCCACAACTGAGCTGCAACATGGAGAGAACATGCAAACTCCACACACAGAGTGGAGATGGGGATCCAAGGTGCTAACTGAGTAGGCGTGAGGTTAAAGTGCTCTACACTGAGTAGTTGTGCCACCCACATCAGAACATTTATGCTGAAAATTACACTGAATTGTTGAAGTGCTGTATTCCAAATAGTCCACATCTACATATGAGCAGGGCATCGTAATCGAAATCCCTTCAGGAAAAATGTATCTAGCATATTTGGCAGCAGTTACAGCCACAGATCAAGTCCTTGACAACTTTGCACATCGGTATGGTGCAATTGTGCCCATTTTTCTTGCCACATTTGCTCAAGCTCTCTGCTTGAGGGACAATTATGGACCAATTTTTCCAACAGACTCTCAACAGGATATAAATCAGCAGCATGCATTCAAGGGTATACGCCTTCCATTATACTTAGGCTACACTGGCACTGAGTTTTGCATTGCAGGTACCGGGTTTGCAGCATCAAGACAACACTGCACCATATAGGCCACATACTGTAGTATGTTTAACTTATATAATTTAAGTTCTTGAATATTTTCAGTTGTGGCGCTGCTCAGAAAATATTTGTATGACGAGTAATTGTTTCTTCGAAGCGTCGTGACCAAAAATTGTGTAAAATAAAGTATGAAAACTGTTGATAAAAAGACCGTTGTTTATATTCTGAAGGATACCACACAAGATTCTTTGTCTCCAGAAAAACAAAAACAAACCATCATCCGCATTTCAGGTCTCAAAGAAAAAAAAATCTTGGAGGAAACAGAAAATACTGTGCACAAGAATCAAAAGAAGCTAAAAGAAGCTGAAGTTTGAAAAACTTTTTGTGAGGTTAGGGTAACAGATTAATGCTATACAGACAACCATGACAACAGATTGTGCTGAAACATTCTTCTATAAGTGAACTTTCAGCACAGCATTGCTTTGAGCCCGCAGCCTATCCCAGGAAGTAGAGGGCACAGGAGACTATGGACTGGGTTCTGCTACATGACGGGGCATATGCACTTATGCACTATGCGCAATTTAGTGAAGCCATTTCACCTAACCACATGTTTTTGGACAAAGAGAGGAAACCCACATGATCACGAGGAGAATGTAAAAAATCCACACAGAAAACTAAAAATCTCCATGCTCAATATTGATGCTTTTTCTCATAAGCTAGCTAAACCTTAACGAGACAGAGCTACAAGAGCACAACAGGCCTCTGAAACAAGTATTCGTCTGGCATAGGAGCCTCAAAAGGCCTAATGTTCAAATGCAAGATCACTGATTTATAGCAGACTCCCACGAAATGGTCTCTGCTCCTTCTGCCATTCCACATCCTCGGTAGCAGGTCCCAGTGAGCACCTTGTAATTCACATCCCATAATAGAATGGGTCTGTTGCCGAGGCACTTCCAACTCAAGGGCGTTCCATTTGATTAAAAGCTCAACGTTGCCTTT